GTCAGGAAAAGAATATGCTACATAGCTCCCCACGGATGAACCCCTCTGTTTCGACACACACACACACACGTCCTATGGGACAAAAGTCGTTTAAACCCTATTCCGATCATCTCCGCTGTACAGGAGACCATCTTTTAAAGATATTCGAAAGCACCGGGTTACGACATCCCGATCGTTATCGAGAGAATCCAACAGCCTAGCAACCACCCTAAGGACACAGAACTTAGCAGGTATCCCTATAAAAGCCCAACTTACATTGGAGGTGGTGCCGACAAGTCAGACTCCTCTCAACCACACACATGCGCACTGGACCTGTATCTACTTTGGTTCCACAGTGACAAGATCAATGCCGGTACAATTAACAGCCCTCTAAGGTAGTACCGATACCAAGCCGACATTAAACCCCTCACTCCGGAACCATCTTACGGGACTACACTTCAAAGCATCCCTTCAACCAGGACCCAGGCGAAGAGGAATTTCACTTTCCTCTTTCGAATTAAGACAAGGCTGTTTTCCAGCTTTAGCAAACTTCCAGAAAACGGGCTGGCGATCTCTCTTGCTGGATACGTCGTCACATTCTTCACGCCCAGATTTCTCGACAGCCGAATCCCTTTGCCATTCACCTCCAGGTGAGTCTCCTGTTTCAAGAGCCTTAACCCCACACCTTACACTGATCATACAGACCGCACTAGCCGGATTTATGGACCCTAGGAGAATCCAAAGAACAAGGAACAACAATCTCCAATTCCCAGTCAACCTCAATCCGAAGGTGGAACTCGGCGAAGTCCTTCGAAACCTCCCTTGATCAACATCACGAACCCTCCTAGCTAACCCAATTAGCCATGCGATCCCTAAAATGCAAGCGAAGACCCCAAACCCAACAAAAATTAGAGCCGTAAACAACCCAAACATAACGCCGATTCCTACACTGTCGCTAACGACATAGTCATCGCTCTCGGCGTCGCTTGGATCAGCAACTAACTCACTTTCTGCTGCATCAGACGAGCCCCCTAGCATTTCATGATATGCATCCCAGTCCCCTTCGGCTAAACCCTGAACAATGGTCTCAACTTCCTCATAACTCCAACCGACTAAGGGCACAACGTGTTCATCATCAACGTACCTGACGACCAAAGCCTCATGCCTAGCTTCATAATGCGCCGGTAAACCCCCAATGCCCTCAATCCTATCCTCAGGCAACATCCCTCCAATGCCATGCACACACTCACTCGACGAAGAGGAACTTACATCGGCAACTGAAGGTTCAGTGGTAGAATCACTACTGTCGGACCATTCACCGTCCCCAAATAGCTGATTAAATTGATCCTGCCACTGACCTGGAGCCTGCTGAGGCCACTCATCATGAAGTCCCGGTTGGGGCCATTGAATGTGGGGAGGCTGCTCGAAGCCTTGAATCTCTGATTCGGAATCCTCGTCATCACTAAACGGCACTACACCGGTCTGAAGATATGCTTCAGCAGCATCAATCCAACGAGGTCCAAAAAACCAACGGGCTGCAGGGCTGGCTCTAAGCTCATCAACTGCAGCGCACAGCACTGCAATCTTCAAATGCGCAGAGGTCCAACGCAACCGCTGCCAATCAATGGACCTATGACCTAAATACCCAAGAACCCTTACACCCTGAAGTGACAAGGTCTGAACTAAAAAGTGTACACGAACAAGATCCCCAACTTCAGGGAACACAGGACAAGGTTCATCTGGAATCCCACATAGATCTTCATATGTTGATTCGATCGCTGGAGGTTGGGCTAAAACATCATCCCTTTCTGCTAAACCCTGCCCTACCTCAGCATAAGTTAAAGCAATTCCAACAGGAACCCAGCCACATTGATCCCCAATCTGAACAAACTGGAACGTAGCACTGAATCCAGCCCCAAAAGTACTCGGCACATCTCTGGTATCCTGCAGCTCAGCAACAAAGCGCAACGCAGAGCTATGCCAAAAGGCCTTATTGACCCTCCTCAAACTGAACCAGCCACTAGGTGACTGTCCACTGAAGGCTAGAATCATCCCAACGTGCTGTTCCACAAATTCTCTTAACGTTGCTTCAGTTGAGAAGACATCAGACTGTACCGACACATCGAACGGACCACTGCTGCTCCCCCCAATCTGGATGCCCTGATTTGAAGGACCACTGCTGCTCCCCCCAATCTGGATGCCCTGATTCGAAGGACCACTGCTGCTCCCCCCAATCTGGATGCCATGATTCGAAGGACCACTGCTAGAACTACTACCCCCAACCTGATAGTTCGGAACCGGAACACTAGTCACTAGTCCTAGGAGTGGAATCATCAGGGTCAACGCCGGTATACCACGACGGTGCCGGTCCATAGCGCTGCATCATTTTCGGAGCGTCAACAATGTCTCCCTTCACAAGTTGTTGTCGAAGCCTCGCCCTCTGAACAAATGTAAGCCCTGTGTACAATTCACGGTTAATCAGAGCTCGTTGGGACCTCTCCCATTCCTGTTCATCAAACACCTCAGAATCAGATTCTTCGTCTGGTGGGGTTACTCCTAATGCCCCAGGTTCCCCAGCAAAACCGGCAGCATCCTGAGCATCAGAGGTATCAACCGTTGGGACATAGAGTTCTGGAGCACTCCCGGGAATATCTTCAAGTTCATTCCGCCCTGAAGTGTAAGCTATGCTAGGCCCATAGATTACAGCCCAAGCCCACATCAAAGCAACCACAGTGATCACTACACCTATCAACCACTGAAACATCCCATACCCCTCATCCCTCGGCTCCAACGGTTGTGCACCTACCTTGGGAAGCACAGCTAACAAAGCAAGTCCGGCTAAACTCTCAACCTGTACCGAAGCTCCACTGATGGAAAGTCGACTGACAGCTCTAGCGGTTCCGTTCTCAGCCTCTTTTGACTCAAGCCTCAGACCCAGAAGACTAAGCAGGTACAAGATCCGTGGCCTGCTTAACGGTTTCGTTGCTAGGTCAGCAACTTGACTGTCGCCTGGGATGAACGTCACAACCAACGAACCTGCCTGGATGCGCTCGCGGCCTGCGGCGGCCCGCATACGGAGATGCCTGTTCCTCCACCCAAGGCTTCCAACCGCAAAAGCTCTTACCGCAGCTTGATTGTCGCAAAGAGCTGAAATTACCACGTCATCTCCGATCAGCTCCTCAATGATGGCCGTAACCGACTCCGCAGCAACGATCCCAGCGGTAACCGCAACCAGCTCTGATTCAGCGGAAGACAATGTTACAAAAGGTTGTTTGCTTGCTTCCCAACACAGGAGCATACCACACCAAACGATGAAGATGGCTTGACATGACCGTCCTCCCTCCGGAGCGTGTGAAGCGTCCGTGTAAAGCTCAAGAGTGCCAATCGTACGGGGAACCGGAGCGTCAACCCACCGATCCCCACTTGGCTTTCGGTATTCAATCCAAAGATCTGCAGTGCCATACAAGTACCTTAAAACCTGATAACCCTTCTGGATCACGACGCTGGGAGCCTTCACCGCGAACTGTCCAAGCTTACTCACAGCAAATGCAATATCTGGGCGACTCTTGGAAGATGCCCAGAGTAATGCACCCGTCAAAGCCTGAGCTTCTCTGATGGTTTCAACCCTAGCTCAATCAACCATCCTGCAGGAATGATAACCTGACAACTGGAAGGACTCAACAAAGTCCCTTGACCATTCACATGAAGTTCAGCAACCCCTGAAGCCAAGTCAACCTGAATCGCCTGAGTACTGTCCCACTCACCTGGACGAGCCTCCCTCAATCCATTGGTGGCCCCACTATCAACCAAGGCATACGACATATCAGAAGCTGACGCCGGGTTTGAGGCACTAACAACCGCACTCAAGAGCCAAGTCTTATCTATCCCAAAAGCCTCAAGAGGATCCCGAACGCTCAACGTCTTCAACGACATCCCCTTCAGAAGCTTCTGGGCTTCTGCCAACAACTCTTGCTGGCTAGACGCAGCTTGGTTCCCAGAGCCATTCCCCTGACTAGCCTGAGCCCCAACCGAACTAGCATCTTCCGAGACACCCTTAGCCTGAGGACCAGCCTTAGGTTTTGGCTTAGCAGCAGGTTTCTTTGGCTCTGGGGACTTCGGAGACGCAGACTCTGGGCTCGACTCGCCTTGCCCTTGGCGAAACTCGGCCGGCGCCACAGTGCACTCAGGCCTGTAATGGCCGGATTGGCCACAGCAAAGACACCGCCTATCCTTACGAGCCTTCGCCCTATCGTGATGAAATCTACAAGTATCCCCGAACCGGCAGCCAACGGCGTTTGAGAAGTTGTGACAGGGAGGAGGATTATCACCGTTCCCTTTTCCACCCTTTCCTTTTCCTTTAGCCTGACCGCCGCCCTGAGCATCACCCCCGGGAGCCTTAACCATCGCTGCCATAGCCTGACCACCACCAGAACCTTGAGCCTTAGCCTCAGTTCCCGCAGACCCAGAAACACCTCCCGTACTCTGTGAACCTTGAGCGGCTTGAGCCGCCTGTGCAGCCGCAGCCCTAGCCTTCTTATCCGGGGCCCCATCAACCACCAAAGACGCTGACTCGCATTCAGCAAGGATAAGCCTCACAAGCTGCACGATCCCTTCCAAAGTAGGCAGATAATCCAAAGCGATCCGATGCCTAAAAGAACTAATCCTGAAGTTAATCATGGGATTCTGAGAAATCAGAGTACTAGTAGCGCTGTCAATTCCCTTAATCAGCAGGGACGCGTCGGGGAGTGACGCATCAACTTCACGCGCTCTTTGAAGATTTTGAGTCCACTTTCTAAGGCTAGCAATCGCCTCCTTATGCATACGCGCAACGTCGGGGGAAACCAATTGACTCAGAAGATGAGCTCTCTCAGTAGAGCCTCCCGGCTGATAAATGCACAAAAGGCGAAAAAGCACGGAAGCACTAGTAAGCCACCTGTTGGTGATGAGATCCTCTTTGATACCCTGTGGTATGGCAGCAAGAAGCAACGAAACTGCCCTGGACTCAACTCGCTGAAACCTGTAGTTGTCAAAGTCCGTAATCACACCCCCGGGGTCCAGGGACAACCTCCCCAGCGGGTCCGCAATCAACCATTGGTTATAATGCCTCGTGGCTGCTCTTTCAACACTGGCAAACCATTTGGTAGCCCCCGGACTCAAACCGGTAAATATCTGTTTAATCTGAGCCCACCAATTGCCGCATGTAACAGCTGAAACAGAAAGATCCGCCTGTGCGAGCTTAGGAAGTTCCATGATATATCGAGCCGGCTCCTCTGGATTCCTAATACTAGAGCCATACCCCCCTGAGGCACAACCCTCTGAAGGAAACTGCACCGCGGGGATGGGTGACACCATAGGAGGAGCTCTGGGGGAAGGCACAACATGTACAGCAGGTGGTGCCCTAGGCGATTGCGGCGGCGGGATAGGCGGAGGCCTGATAATCGTACCACCTGGCGACATAGGGTACCCATCACCTGACACCCTAGCCCCAACACCTTCACCCGACCTAGGAGTAAAATACCCTGTATCCGCCTGCTGCCGCAACCCTTCAATCTCCATCATCCTCTTAAAATCTCTGAAACTCTGCACTGGTGCCTCTTCCCTGAACCCAGAAGCCCCGGAGCACCCAAAGCCTAGCCCTGGAGCCCCACAGTCCCTTTCACTCCTACCGGCGTCAAACCCAGGCCCTTGACCCAGTGAACCCACCGGACGGCTACTGGTTCCAGTTTCCAGCTGCGGAGAAAACCCAGTAAACCTAGCTACCTCGTAACCCATCTGAGGTGAGAGATCGCCAGCCCTCACGAAACGCTCAAGCGCCGTCGGAGCTGACTGCCAGTGCCCAACACCGAGGGGAAGATCAGACTGTGGTGCGAATGACACAGGAGAACCCATAGGCAAATCACCAGTATTCCTAGTACCCCCACTGTGCCAACTAGACCGCTCTACCTGATCTAACCTCCCTCTAAGCAACCGGTTCTCCTCAATCACTTGCAAAAGCATCGCTTCAAGCCGCGAACCCTCAGCTGCAGGAACAAGCTCACGCGTATCTTCAGGAAGAGGTTTCTCAGGAGACTGAACAGCACTCGGAAGTCTATTGGCAGAAGAGCTTGCACGATCATCCCCGGTCAGGTCAGACGCCGGGCCTTGCCTAGGTATCCCAGTGTCCTCTGAAGAACTTGCAATCTGTGCGAAGCCACCTCCCACACCCTCTTGAACAGTAACTGCCAGTCCGGAACCCATTGTCGCC